ATTTCATTTTGTCTCAACTCGTCAAAAATTATATTTATATTATTCATCTCACCAGAGAACCTCTCACCATAAAGGTTAAAACCCAAATGAGAAATATAAGTGATTTATCTCAATAACATACATAACACATTCATGATGATAAAAACAATTTATTTCGTTTTATTACAGTTATTCATATTTTTAAAGAATTCTTCATACGCTTCCTTAGCATTAATGTTAGTACTAGTGAATGTTTCTCCCGTGTCTTCATTCTTGTATCGATATTCTAGCGGGTCACTGAATAGGACGAAGCCAGTCTTGGCCACACGAGGTTCGATCTCTTTCCATTCGAAAAATCCACAGCTGTCTATCTGAGGGCAACAGTAAAACAGGCGGATCTGGGTGGGTCCTTCTTTTTTCACTTTACGTACGGTGCATACCATCCCGTGTTTGCAGCGTGGTCGAGGGCTTTCGTAAACGTCTCCCCTTTGCCAAAAGTTGCAAGGATCATGTCGATCAGAACACGTGAAGAAGGGTCTTCCATAATTTTCTTTCATTTTATTTTTTACCACACGTAATTTGGCTAGTCTCTGATGTGTTGGGCAAATGGGATGATTGGAACCACTATTCTGACACGCTTCCATTGCTCTCGTAAACAGATAACAGTCTTCGTCATGGCAAAAGAACTCGCAGCTCGGTGTTTCGCCACAAAACCAAAACGTACCACGAGCAGTTGTAGAACAAGCAGCTGGTTTACCGTGAAAACATTCCATCGTGAGTGTTGAATACAGACTATGCAGGCGAAAGGACACTAGCTGTATTTATAGTGATGTTACTGCATTGTAATGCTAATCGTCGCGTTGCCTGCCACATTTGGCCCAGGCCTGCCCGCGTTAATTGGTCGCGCTACCTGGCCCAGGGTTAGGGCCAGCAAAGTTGCGTCACATATCTTGCATACTAATTACTTCCGACACCTAAGTTTGCATACTAATTACTTTCGGAGCAATGTGACGTCATTGGCGGCATCCCTTTGTACTCCAGAGTGGGGGTTTCACTACTCCTTTGACTGCAAACATGGTCCAGACCGGAAAAAAGTATTTAAGTCTAAACTTGAAAATGCCAAAAATAAGGTCAGTTATAGTCATGTTAAGTACTGTGGAGGTAAAATATCTAAAACATTTTGTCATATAAGTTTTACAAAGCTTACAACGACTGTCCTATGACCCTTTCCCTGGGTGATATTACCTGTGAACGGGATGTTTTGGAATATCAAATGTGACGGACTTTTTTAATTTGCAGAATGAAGACCACGACTGTCCTAAGAGACGGTTTTTGCCACAAAACACTGTCAAGTTTGACTGTCCCGCACAAATTCGTCTTTCAGAAGTGATAATATACCCCGATTATAAGGTAAGTTTTTAAATTATATATAGGTATAGGAAAATTCATATAATATATTGTATGGTGAATTTTCTACAATTAATTGTAGATTAGTGATGATAGAGAACGCTCCAGAAGGGACATGTCAATGAAACTGAAGAGTGACATAGCCAAAGGTGACAAACCTGCATATGAACGAAGGATTTACATTCAACTTCCAAAAGAAGACCAACATAAAGATCATGCTATTGGAGAGGTTTGTCTGCCACTGTAATGATCACAAACGTGCTCCCTTCGTAAATCGGATCCTAATTCAGTGCAACGTCAATGAAAAAACGTTCAGTACACTAAATAGGTAGAAACTGTCACAAAGGACGATTAACCTTATAGCTCAGTATGTTATTGTCCATGCCGAATTAGTATTCCAGTGCCAGAAGTTTCAACTCTTCTGAGTCTATCGATATCACGCATAAGCTAGGATAACTTGGAGGAACGTTATCTAACAAGTGAAAATACTTAAAAAATTTATAGGTTAGCGGTATTCTTCAGCCCATCGACAAATTGCTGACTAAGAAGATTGAACTTCTTGTTGGTGAAGGCGTGAAAACTGTGGATGAAATGAAAAGACACCTAAAGAGCTACGTAAAGAACGAGTTATTTGCATCGGAGAAACCACCACGACCAATCGCACCGATTGGAAACATCTTTTGGGATTACAGGAACTGTGCGAAAGTGGTTTGAATCCTACCTATCTGGACGATGTCAGCGAATAGCATTTAAAGATGGAATCTCTGACATTTTTCCATTAACGTGTGGCGTACCTCAGGGCTCATGTTTAGTACCGCTGCTTTTTACCATGTATGCAAGTAAACTATTTGATGTTATTAAAGAACATTTACCAACTGCGCATGCATATGCTGATGACACGCAGCTTTATTTGTCGTTTAAACCAGGGAACGGTGCGAGTGAGGAAGAGAGTATCGCAGCGATGGAGACATGCATTAAGGCAGTACGTACGTGGATGACTAAGGACAAATTGAAACTGAATGATAGTAAGACTGAGTTTTTGATTATTGGTACAAGGCAACAATTAAAAAAAGTGAACATTGTCCCGCTTCCTGTAGGCGATGTCAACATTACACCGGTAGCATCTGCTAGGAATTTGGGGACTGTGTTTGATAGCAATCTGTGTTTGGTACCCCATATCAACAATACATGTAGACAAGCATTTTTCCACCTACATAATATTCGCAGAATTAGAAAATATCTCTCCGTTGACGCAACTAAAATCTTAGTCCATGCCTTTATCATGGGAAGAGTGGATTATTGTAACAGCCTTCTCTATGGTCTTCCAGCAAAGTCTGTAAATAAGTTACAACGTGTACCGAATGCGGCAGCCCGGCTGGTTTCCGGTGCTTCTCGTTTCAATCACATTACTCCAGTTTTATATGAGCTCCATTGGCTGCCTGTCAAGGAGAGAATAATCTTTAAGATATCTGTATTGACTTTTAAAGCAATACATGGATTAGCGCCATCATACATTAGTGAAATGGTAACAGTTATGAGACCAAGTAGCTATCAGCTGCGCAGAAATAAGGAACTATTGATAGAGCCAGCTAATAACAGAAATACGAAGAAGACTTTAGGTGATAGAGCTTTTAGTTTTGCAGCTCCTACAGTTTTTAATGCCTTGCCGCATTTTATCAGACGAGATAGTAATTTTAATAGCTTTAAGTCTTCATTGAAAACATATCTTTTTCAAATTGCATATTGTACATAGATTTATCCGCTTATCTTAGCATATGTAAATATTATTACTATTACTATATCTTTGTTACGCGCATTTGATCATATTCTCATGTAAATTTGCGCGATATAAATATTAAATTATTATTATTATTATTAACAAACAGGAGATATTACCCAACAGACATGGACATTATAAATTGCATGTATCGAGCGTCTGTGAAGTTCATATTGTCCAAAATTGATCAGGAAAACCTTGAGAAGAATATTGACGTATGGCGTGAAAGATATCCGGAAGACTGTTTCTTTTTTAGACCCTGCACTGTATCTCCCGAGAATCCTGCGTCGGAAGGTGATGGTGAAGTAGAGGCCGATATTACTCAAAATCTACTGTTTATTCATCAAACTACGTGGCAGAAACGTCTTTTAGCTCGATATGGTAACGAGATCACGCTGCTTGACGCTACTTACAAAACAATGCGATACGAATTACCACTATTTTTTATCGTTGTGAAAACAAATGTAAATTATTTGGTTGTTGGAAGTTTTATAATCCAGAGAGAGACAACAGCGTCGATAGAAGAAGCTCTCGGAATCTTAAAATGCTGGAATCATTCATGGGAGCCCAAATACTTTATGACCGACTTCTGTCATGAGGAAATTAACGCGATTGAAAATACTTTCACAGGTAAGAATATTTCATTACAATACTCCACTGTTTGTTGTTGTATAGCGTAGAAAATAATATTAGTGTAGAAAATAATTACCATGCAGTTGTTTAAAACGTCTTAATAAAAAAATCCATGCAAACTAACTGGGCTGTAATTTGCCATGTTGGTTGCATCGCTACTAGCAATTGACTCTTAGTTATTTCGCGACCGGGCATACACTACGAGTTCCCGGGATGATGTCATTATCTGATAGTCGTATTCTTTATCGATAACCCATTCACTTGGATGTTTTAGCCAAACTAAATCAACTCATTTGCCTTATTTTGTCAGACACTACGACCTACATATGTGATTTTTACATCGAACAATGTTGGGAGAGGTGGCTTCGCAAAACTGACAATGGGTTGTCAAAAAGCAGAGAAGAAGTCCTGCTGTTACTTCGCAACGTTGCTAAGTCCACAACGGAAAATGAGTTTGAAGAGAATGTGAAACTCTTAAAGACACAAGACGTTTGGCTGACGAGTCCCAAACTACGAAAGTGGTTTGAAAACACATGGCTAGTAGAGACAAAGGTATACATTTTTTTGTAGTGTGATAGATATACTATTGCTTATGTTGAATTAATAAGAAGCTTATGGGCTGATTACATGAACCGTAATGTAATTTTAACCCAACTGATGAAGTATGGCAATGAGTTGAATTGTAAACATGCAAACTTTAGAAAAGCTTGAAAATAATTTAGAGCATAGTCTTCGAAAAAACCCCGCTAACTGTACATCTTTAACTGCATCTGATTTAAGCCATCTGTGATAACAAGTGTATTATTATCTTTCCAAATTTCCATACATCAAAAGCCTGGCTGAAAATTACCCATGTAATCAGCTTCTTAATTGATTAAATTTGTTCCGTCAAATAGTTTAAATTAATTGACATACAACTATGCATGCATAGTTGTATATCAATTAATTTAAACTATTTGACGGAACAAATTTAATAATAATATACCTGTAATACTTGCCCATAAGTGTACTTGCTGCTTTATATTGGACTTTATAGCGATGGGTGTGGGCATTCAGACAGAACAGGTTCATGGTCAATATTAACACCAACAATGGGATAGAACGGCAAAACGAGTCGTTGAAGTAGCAATATATGAAGCGAAACACCAACAAAAGCCTCAGTGCAATGATAACGATATTGTTAGAAGAATTTCTTCCGGATAAACGTAACAGGTAGATAATATCCTATTTTGAATTCGTCCAGACAGACCATTGCGAATCACCAACAACGCACATGTCATTATATCATGGATATGGATCGTTAATACGGAGAGAATTATTTTCATTCTTGTATTGTAGATATTTGGAGCTGAACACAAGATGCAGCGATCAATATCGACGATATAACACCAATGTCCCAAAATATCTGCACAATAAACCTCGTCAATTATTAGAAAACTGCATGAAACGGATAACATCAGCGGAAGAATTTCAACTCTGTGATATTAAAAAAGTTGACAACCAGTGTGGAGTGTTTGAAATAAAGGCACAGTCAAAGGATCGTTGGTACAATCTATCATTTGGTTCAGGAGATATAATGCCTAATTGTGAATGCTTAGATTTTGGACGAAATGGTCTCCCATGTAAGCATTTTTTCGCAGTGTTCAATCACTTTCCTGAGTGGCAATGGGATTCATTACCAAAGAAATACCGTGAAAATCCTCACATCTCCTTAGACCAAGTTTACTCTTTAGTTGTCCATTGAATGAAGAACATACCGTGTATGAAGAAACATCTCGTCAGTCGTTAAAAGAAATAAAACAAAGCAAGAAAGTCAGCAACACTCCCGACACAACTGAAGTTACAATACGGCAAGAACAAATGAAGTGCAGGGAAATTTTAAAAGGACTGACATCATTAACATATAATGTTTATGATTTACAAGCTCTTGAAAATCTTACGACTGGCTTAAAACCGCTTTTGTACAACTTTGAACGTAACCAGCTTACCGATGAAAAGGAAAATTTTGAAACCGAAAACAAGGAAGTGGCAAAAGATACGAACAACAAAATATGCATAGAAAACAAAGACATCTCAAATGTCAAGCAGAAAGAAAAAGTATGTTGTTCCAAACCAGACAAAATATACCTTTCTCTACTAGTGAGACAGAAGAAAAACCGATACAATAAGCGATCTGGAGCACATGCATCTGTGATGCGCAAACACTACAAAGTCGATATCCCAGTAGATGATGACTTTGAACCAGAGAAAAAAAAGAAGAAGTTACAACCAAAGAAAAGCTGCATACTACCACAAGAGACAACGACTATATCGTACCATTCAAACCAACAACGTCAACTTGACGCGAAAGATACGAAATCGAAGGGTAATATACCACGTCTTACGCAGATCCCTGATACGATAGCTATGGAAACATCTTTGAACCTGGAAACATTTGCTCAATTTGCTTGTCCTTATGATCAAAGTCATTTCACCAACATATCCCAACTAACGGAAAATAAGTTCAGTGAAGAATCGGTAGTCTCTACCAATCTTTCCGTTGAATCACCCCCATATATCACAATTGATGAAAACTCGCCTGACCCTGTGGTGTGGACTTCAATAGAGAACAGCTATGATACAGGTGATGAAGTCCCTTTGGTTTTGTACAGTACAACCAAACCAAGGCTACTAGACAAACATACCTGGTTGAATAATACGGAAATCTGCGCTGGCCAAGCGTTACTTAAGAACAAGTTTCCAAAGATAGATGGTCTTAGAGATCCTACCAAATATTGTTTAGAAGTTGCTCCTGCCAAATCTCCATTCATTCAACTACTGAATACTGGAGGACACTGGGTTTGCTGCACGACGATTTCAACAAAACTCAACTCGGGCACAGTCAGAGTTCTCGACAGCCTATACAACAGACCAAGTTCACATGTTGTTGAGCATTCTTGTTGCTTGCTAAGACATTCTGGTTGTACAATGACATTCTTGAACGAAAAAGTGCAGAAACAAATAGGTGTTAGTGAATGTGGTCTTTTTGCATTAGCATTTGCCACAGATTTGTGCTATGGTTTCGACCCAGCAAATCAACACTATGACCAAACTATCATGCGTCAGCACTATGTCAATTGTCTCGAATCTAAAGCCATGGTCCCCTTCCCTAAAACAACAAAGAGAGTATCATGCCACGCGACTTGCATAAAAACACAAGTGGATATTTTCTGTATATGCAGACAACCAGATGATCATAAGCAATATGTTCAGTGCTTCCGTTGCCAGGAATGGTACCATCCAACATGTGCTGGTATTCCAACCACAGTTATCAACTCTAAGAAGAGGTGGAGGTGTAGAAAATGTTTAGTTTCCCTTGCATAAATTTCTTTGAGGCTGATAATTAGCATTGGCCAGTATAGGTAAATAAATATGCCATACGGATAATGTCAGATATCAAGTAAGTTTATCAAGAAGTTTGTAGGAATAACCAGATTTAAATTTGTAAATTTGATCAGTGGGTTTCTCCAGACAAGATTAATTCTTCGAATCCCTCATCCATCAATAGATCAAAGTGCAATTTTTGGTGAAGTACCTTAAAATTGTAATGCAAAATTCTTCCTGCTGATTTTACTAATGTGAAACAGATCACTCAAACATAGCACGATAAATTTTAAATAGTGTACACCAAAGCAGTGTACGTATAAAAGCAGTGTACACTGATCGTTTTCCCAGTACCAAAGGGAAAGGACTGAAACCTGACTACATTGTAAATATCTTTATCTGGAAGTAAACACTACTCAGGACTGATGTTTGTGCATGGTGTCACTCTGAGCATGCATCCACACCGGGCAAGCTGAAAAGTTTGCCTGACCACAGTGGGAATCGAACCCGCAACCTTTGGGATACTATAGTCCAATGCTCCAAAGGTCGCAGGTTCAATTCTCACCATGGTCAGGCAAATTTTTCAGCTTGCCCGGTGTGGATGCACAGTTAGTGTAACATCACAAAGATCATCATCTGAGTACATAACACCAAAACACACAAAAAGTATACCCAGTAGGACAGATTGTTGTTAATTTAAATGCACTAGCAAAGGGTAGATGTGACTTTTTCTGGGTTTGTGTTGTTTTTCATTCATATCATTATTAACCCACTAAGGTATGGCATATTGTGTCCCGCATCACACAGCGAGCCCAAGCATTGATCTGTGTCTGTTGTATCTTTTTCAGTTTAATTATTTTAGTGTCTTTATATTGCTTTTTAATTGAATTATAACACTACATTGCACTAATATGTTATATAATAATAATACTCCTGTAGTCGAACATATAATAACAACATATAAGTTGATTGGTATTTGTATGTTTTGTTCAGTTTATTTAAGATCTATTATCTTATTATATTATATAAAAGCACCGCCTTTCGAACCTGACAGCCTGTTCGCAGGATACGCGTGGGCAAGATATAAATATGTGACAAGGGATGAAACTCTTAAAGTTTATCGTATTATGAATGCCCCGACTTGAGTGGACCGATAATTATGCAATGAGTGTCATGTCAAACAACGCCGTCAACCTTTGGGAATCAATGATATAAACAAGGACACAAACTCGAATACAACTCGAGGTGAGAAGCCAATTTGTGTCGACTGTAACGGTTTCAATGGTTAAAATTTAAAATTAAATACTTAACATTAGGTCCAGTTAAGTCGGGACGTTAATGCTACGAAACGTCGCTATTAAAAACTAAAGCAATTTATAAGACTCTAGGGCTTTTATTTCACAAAATTTTTCAATGGCTATGTACTTTAGCCTTAGACATATCATGTAGCCGAATTTGAAGTTAAAATTCGTTTTAACAAGCACATACGGCTTCAAAATAAAACATTCCTATATTGTAATTTCATCCCTTGTCTCGTTTCCTATTTTCAGTGGAAATAACATGGTGCTTTTATATAATCTAATAATAGATCTCAAATAAATAAACTGAAAAACATACAAATACAAATCAACTTATATGTTGTTATTATACTGTATATTCGACTACAGGAGTATTATTATTACATAACATATTAGTGTAATGTAGTGTTATAATTCAGTTCAATTAAAAAGCAATATAAGGACACTAAAATAAATAAACTGATCAAAAGATACAACACAGGGCTTATGCTCCCTGTGTGCATCATTTGCCCTACTTTTATCTTATAACGTCCAGACGATTTTACTTGTCCAGATCATAGCTTGCTCTTTAACTGGTTTATATGAAAAAGTTTAGAATGTCCTGTTGGGTTTATGCCCACAGAGCAAGTGTACATATGCAACTGAATGAACTAAAGTTATTCTTTAAGATAGAAAGCCAAGGTCTAAGAGAAGGAGGACACAGTGGCTTTCAATCCATGTGATGAAATCCATTTTCCATTGAGTTACATAAGTGGCTCTTGCATACCTTTTTAGATATGTTTTTTTCACATTTTTCATCCATATCATTAGCAATGAGTGGCCAACAGGAATTATGCACCCCTCAATATGAAGCCTGCCCCCCCCCAGCTGGGACATAGCGGGGCATTAGCAGGCGATTTCACAGGGAAAGGATCTATGTGAAAGTCAAATGTCCTGCCCAGAGGGGTGGGGTTGAGTGGGGTTATATTGACTGGTGCATTATCATGCATCATGCATTATTGGTACCAAATGTTTACATATTTGTGCTTAATATAATATCAGGTAAAACAAACAGGGCCGCAGCTAGACCGGTAATTGGGGGTCAAGCTATGGCCCTGAAAACAAATTCCTATGTCTACCTGTTAGAGGATAGCCACAATGTATATTATGTATACAAGGATGGGTTGACTACAAAATTTTTGTAGTTCGCTATAACTACAGCTACTTCAAAAATACGTAGTCAGCTACAACTACTGCTACTTTTGAACAACAGTAGTTCGTTACTGACTACAGCTACTGCTTAAAAAATGTAGCGAACTATTTCGCTATTTCGCTACTCTATATTTTCTATTTTTACGGTATTTTGGCTCAGGCTGTAATTTAACCTATAACAAATCGACTTACGAGTAGCAACAGTAAACAAAAGGGTCAAAGCAACATTTTTGTAAGCACTATACAGTGTTCAGGAGTGCCACTTTTCAATGCGCTAAAATAATCTTTACTGTATAAAATAATCTTTTAAGCAAACCGTGTCTTAATATCATTATATTCTACGAACGGTTGCTAACAATTTTAAAAAGTAGCGAATAGCGATTCGCTGTTTGAAAAGTAGTCAACTACTTGGCTACTTTTAGGCAAAATGTAGTTCGCTATAACTACAACTACTGTTTTAAAAAAGTAGTCAAAAACTACTGGCTACTTGAAAATTGTAGTTCGCTACAGTAGCGAACTACAACTACTTCGCTACTACCCACCCTTGTATGTATATATAAAATGCTGTAAACATTTAAATTATAAGTTTCCTCGTGTTCATTAAAATATAGTTTAATTAAAGCATTAATTTCAATAGTGATGATGTTTTGGGAAACAGTGAGTACGGGCAACAGTGGGTATGGGCATTCCCTATTATAAAGTACAAGTTTAGGTCTTCTAGTAGAGTTTTTTGTGTTATTACTGTATAAAATTGTCTTGGAATTGGCGTTGGGGTACATTTAATATATTTTTGATTTTTCATATATTTATAAATACGAGCGGGAATAAGTCGAAAGATACGAGATTCTCGATCTACTATTAATATGTACAAGCAGAAATATATTAAGCAGAAAAATAACACCTTACCTAAAAGGCCAAATTGTACAATTTTATCGGTCCAAAATTGTAAAGTCCATAATTGTTATTTCGCCTTCGTTTTGGGGTGTTTGCGTATTTCACGGCGATGTACCGATGCGAAACCGAAGATATTCAGTAGGAAGAAAATGACGTCATGTCATTTTGATGGTTGGAAACAAGTGAATACCTCTTGACACCTGATAGGCATTTGAATTAGCGAAATTTGCAAAATATAAGGTACAGAATTATTTTAATAAAATATAACAACCAGCGAAAAAGTAAGCCACTAAGTTTCGAGTAAAATTGACCCATTAAATGTTTTAAATGTAAGGTTTCGAGTAAAATTGACCCATTAAATGTTTTAAATGTTATGGGCCGTAACTCTCTACTCTCCAAGATGTTGTTGTTAGAATTTAGTAATGTAATACGATCCTTTAATATGATGTGTGCGCTCATGTCGAATAAACACAATAAGAGTGCAACAGTATTAAACGTGATTCTTGTTCACGTTTAACTATATATTGTACTTATCCCGCCTCTGTTTCAACATATCATATACGAACAAGTGAAAATACTTTATTAGTTAATTGTTTTTTAATTAATGTGTTTCATAATATTTTGTTTCACGGCAGAACCATTGGCCTTATCAGTATAGGTTAGTGGGCAGGAGTCTCTATTATTATGGCGTGTATACGAATTCGTATAAGACACAGTTACCGTGGCGTTTTACTGCGATGGATTTGTTTAGTGTGCAACTGAGTATGGTCTTACAATTAGAAATAGAATTGTGAATATTTTAATCTGGAATAACTATTTTAGAGCAAATTACCGGTATTTCAATGACATGTTTACGCCAGCATATATTGTTTTCTGGTTATGTTCTAGTCTAGCTGGTGCTTGGTGGCCATTCACTTTTTAAAGTTGTCGATTGACCACTGGACACTGGACAGGGTGGGCAACGATTTATTGCTATTCGTAGATTCATGTGCGTAGCTATTTTTATTCCTCTATCTGACTCGGCTTAATTAAAACGCCATGGATTTTATAATTTTCGTTTGTTCGTGTATAGCAAAGTACTGGACTTTCTAGAAATGCCGTCCATGATGCGGCTACATAGGTAGTACAGTATAGGTTGAAAATTTTATGTTATTTCGTTGTTGCTAATGTATTATGCGAAAAATTAAGTCGAATCTTTAGCGGATAATGTGACATGATTTAGCAAATTTTGTGCCGTGTCGTACTTAACTTAAGCCTGTTTTTCGAATTTCATCGCAATAATCGAATTTTTATTGCTAAAATTGAAAATAATTTATTAAAATTCTAATTATAATTCCAGTCTAGAGCTTATAAGATAAAAGATTCGCACGACAAATTTCGCTAGTGGAAAACAGACTTTAGTTATTCAAACTTTGCAAGAATTCAATTGATTTAGGGGTCGATCTACTGCCGCTTTCAATCGTTCTAGACTATAGGGAGCGCAGCAAAATCCGCTTTCGAAACTGGCAAGCCAGGTAGGCCTATATTATTAATTAAGATCAATATTTATTACTGTGGACTACATTGAAACTGTTTTATGCTTGTTTTGATACAATTGTATGCGTAACATAACGACTTTCAGTTATTCAGCCAGAATAATAATGTAGTAACTTAAGCGAATTAGTTGACGTTAAGCTGACGCTATTCAACGACGGAAGCGGCAAGCTCCCGGATGTATATTTTAAACCATATTTTAACATTCGAGAACCTTTTGCTCAATTTATTGTTGCAATATTTCACCGCGACATTTTCGACGCTACTCTAATAAAATTGCAAGAATATTTAATATTGCGAAGGGTGGCGAACTCCTATATTAACTGCTGTCCGTAACACTAATACTGTAATAGTGTTTTTTGTAAATCCTACAAGACAAAGCGGTTTCAGATAAACACCTACAAAGCCAGCTTAAACAATGTGAATATATTCTGTAAGGAATTTAAACGGCTTCGTGAACGTATTTGAACGTTTTGAGCCAAACGTTGAAACGATTTAGCAACATTTTTCAAACGTTTTTCTCCAACCGTTTGAACGGTTCCGCCAGATGTTTGAACAATCTCAAAAATCGTTTCAACGGAACGCTAAAGCGTTTAAACGGATAACGAACGGATAACGAACGATTTTTCAGAACGTTTTTCAAAACCGTTAACGTACGTTTTCCCAAGGAGGGTCACATTTGATATTAAAATAAATACACACAAATATAACAGAAACTGAATGTTTCAAACACAAAGAGTGCAATGGAATAAAACGTATAATACAATTGCACTCGCAAAGAGTGCAATGGAACGTATTCCATTGCACTCTGGGGAAATGGAATTTTCTATTCAATATCACGTGACCATAAGCAGCTAATTAAACGATCAGAATTCAATAAGGTATCATATAAACATAAACATTCAGAAAACTACAGCAAATAGAACAAAAAGAACCGCGACAGCAAACCGCACGAACCGCGACAGAACCGCAGTGTTAACTTACTTCTAAACAGTACTGTATATACTGTATAACAGGTATGGAATAACCAAGAACTAATGTCATTTCAATGTCTGCTTTTCACAGGCAAAGACAGGTAGAGTTAAACATGGGCAAGACATTCATTAATGACATGGGGTTGGACAGTGCCAAGTTTGGAAATGAGGCACATTTTTTGCTGCTATCGACGTTGCTTCTAGAAATAGGACAGCTTCTAGAGGTCTCTAAATTCCTTATCTGAAATATTGTTACTGCCAGCGTTAAAAAATCTGCCAGCATGCTGGTTAGCATGATAGCATCGTTGCCGATGATTGAACGTTCCATGTTTCCTGCTATCGCGGTGGTGCCAGAGTTGGAACAGAGGGCTTGAATTTGTATATCCAAAACACTGTTACTGCAAGCATTAAAACGTCTGGCAACATGCTAGCTAGCATCATTTACAATGACTGAACGCCGATGCTCGTCAAAACTTGCCCTCAAAGATCTTCAGTAGTATAGGGAATGAGGGTTCTAGACCACTTTTTCGGCCCGCGATCTCACCCAACTTCCGGTCAGCGGTTTCCATATTTTTCCCTCAAAAACGCGGGCTTATATTTTTCTAGACCATTTTTCTATTATTTTTGGTATTATTTTTTCTATTATTTTTGGCATTATTTTTTCTATTAATTTTGGCGTTATTTTTTTCTATTATATTTGGCATTATTTTTTCTATTATTTTTTTATTATTTTTCAGCATTATTTTTTCTTCTCTCTTTCAGCTGTTAGGTTCTCCATCGCAATGTTGTGTCTATGAGCTTCCTCAGCGTATCCATTCTTATCAAACATTTTAAATAGATATCCTGCTCCAGCAAATGCAAATGCATTAAAAGAGCCCTCCTGCTACTGCTCCCGCCATTGTATAGTCTTACTTAGGTTTGAATGGATCATCTGGTATATACTTCTTTTCTTTCAGGTAGGAGACTAGTAGAGATGAGAGGCTAACTGAGACAGCTAGCTTTACCATTCCTTTTACATTCTCTGGGGTTCCTAACGGTTCTTTCAATAGTTTTTTTGATGCCATTGATATACCAACTGCTCCTGCTGTAAGTAACACTGCGTTGTACACTTCCGTGGTCATCTTTGATTCTTTACTCATCTTGTTATAATATATAGTATGTTTAATGTATCATTCAAGTGAATCTAACTTGGACGCATCAGCTTTCCTAGTTACTTCTACAGTCTCAGGTATGTGCTTGTGTTCAGGTTTCTTTGTTTCCCTCTGATGCTGATTAAATGCTAGAGCAAGGGATACCAATGCGATGACCACTCCTACATATGCGATCATGTTATTGCTGGATGACTCCTCAGGTTCTGCAAGTTTCTTTTTCCTCTCCTTTGCTATTTTACTGATTGCGGCTAATCGTTTTCCTGCAGCTACTCTTTTTGGGTCTTTATTCTTTTCACTTGTTACTTGTGCTTGAATGTGCTCAGATTTATCTTCCATTCTACTTGTAAGATACCTTAGGTTTAACTGGGTTTTATCTTATTAGACATCTAGAGTCTACTTGTGAGATAACTTAAATTTACTTGTAAGATGTCTCAAATCTACTGGTGAGATAACTTAAATCTACTGGTGAGATAACTGGTGAGATAACTTAAATCTGCTGGTGAGGTAACTTAAATCTACTTGTGAGATAACTGGTGGGGTATCCCAAATCTACTGGTGAGATGACCTGACTAGTACCGACTACGTCAGTAGTCGCTGCGCTAGTACTTACCTGAACTGAACCTAGGTCTGTACAACCTTACAGCGCACTGTGCGTTGTTCACTGTGACCTTCTTTGCGACCTTCTTAAGTGAAAAGTATTCGTTGATTCTAATGCAAGTTTTTACAAGGTCATCTGACACCATCACCATGTAACCTATCTTCATAAGTTTGTGGAACCATAACATTTGCCTTTCACTTGCGACTCCGGTGCCTTTTGGAGACTTGAATTCGATGGCAAATCCTTTATACTTCCCCATAGGATTCTCTATAATAATATCTGGCTGACCACCTTTGTATCCCTTCTTCCAGGCATCACATCTCTTAGATGATGTGTCCTGATACTCACCTAGACCGGGTATTACCACAGCCTCTGGGTAGTTGTCCCTGATGTAACTCACGACTGTGGGGTGGAGGTCTGTTTCATTTAATAGGATCATTTGGTTGTATCTAAGTGACCTTCTATCTGGTAAACTGTATGTGCCAGTTTTTCGTATAGATGGGAGGACTTCCCTGAATACCCAGTCCTGGAAGTCCTCAGCTATTGGAAGTTTGGATTAGAAAGTAAGCTGGTACACTCCTGATTCATATAAAAGAACCGTATGTTGTTGACGGTTTTCCGGGTGAACGAAACGTTCACCCCTAGTTTTCCGGGTGAACGTTTCGTTCACCCCTTTGGCTTTTCCCAGTAATACTTTATTTAATCCCCATACATGATCCCTGACGGCCTTCTGTGGGTTTAAGTACCCTAGGGATTCCGCCACATCCTTTGCGTAGAATAATACCTCCCCATCTCTTTCAATAGTTCTCACACTAACGTTAAGATCTCGGTTTCTGAAGAGTTTTTCCATCTTTCTCTATATTATATATGTAAAAATTTTTGGACCTATTTTATTAAGTATTTAATTTCGATTTATGAAGGGTGTCCTCGAGGACACCCTTACGTATTCTGTATACGCTTACCCCCATCTCGCTCTCTGAACTGCTTTCCTAGTATCAGCATTCCCTCTACCCACCCAGCTGCTTACTATGTACTTCCTACATCAAATAAAATACTACGACTCATGGAGTTCCTTGTATATCTTTACAACTGTTTTGATAGTGTCATCTTTGAAGGTATAGAAGTCATACTGGAGTGGCCCAACAACCTTTTCCTTGAACGCGTGTATGTCCTTCTCCAATGCATTAAGGGTATCCTGTATCTTCTTAAGTCCCTTTTCATTAGCCTCAGCTTTCTCAATCAGTTCATTAATTATGTCTTCAAATTCAGTTCCTTCCCAAGCGTTATCCCATTCGTATCCTGACATTCTTCTGTATTTAATAAGATATGTTTGGCTTCCTCAGATATTTCCTCAGGTTCCTCCTTCTTGTTCCAACTTATGCGCAACAACATGCTTGGCTGTTGTACAACCACCTGATATTAAACCTATGAATGGAATGTTGGGGGATATCATTCTTGTTAGATAACATACGTCATCCTTTAGAAGTTTATCGCTAAGTAGTTCCTCTGACAGCTTCTCTGAAGATGCTACTGCACCGAAACTCCCCAGTACAGAAGCAAACTTTGAAATTATAAGTGTTGATAGGAAGTCACTTGCACATGACATCCTTTGACTTTCATACTCATGGTATAGTCTATCCACAACATCCTTGTTGGACTTTCTTATAAAACTTGCGGACTTCTCTATTACACCATCCCTAGATAGCTCTATAAGCTTGTCTCTTTTGCTTTCAGTTTGCGACCTATCTGCGGCTGACTTAGTTTTTCTTGCGGTAGACTTAGCTTTCTTTTGCGGTGTCTTTGCGGCCTCTTCTACTTCCCTCACAGCTGCAGATATTTCTTCATCAGATTCAGATCCCATCTTTTATATCCTACGTGATGTTTTATTTGATAGTGTATGTGTAAGGGTGAATAAGTAGTATATCTAGTGCGGTGAACTTCTCATCTTTTAGTATTTTCGTAATCTCTGTAATTGTCTCCTGAGGGACACCACTTAGGTAATCATCTGTTATCACCTTCATATCCCTACGACTAGGGTTGTAAAATGTAACTAACCTGGAAATGTTCTCCCTGAATGGTTTTGCAATTGATGATAATTGTTGGGTAATTACAATAACTGATAGTTTGTAATGTCTTGCGGAGAATGCTAGGCGCACCAGTTCTGAGACCCTTTTCTTTACATCCTGACCTGCAGCACAATCATCAATGATGATTAGCGTTTGAGTTCCACGAAATATGGTGGACACTGCCTTCAGAACTAGATTGATCATTTCTTGTGAACATGGAATTTGTATGACTCCGTGGTCACTAATATGAGCCCAGTTAATGTAAGTCATATTCCATTCTATTGTTGGACATATAATAACAATGTAATCGAAAACTTTATTGTACTCTGTTTCTAACATATTAAGTAAGAACTGAGTCTTACCACTTCCAGTCATTCCTACTATGAGCATATTAAATGGTGGCTCTAGATTCATCTCTATGCTTTACCATATGTGTGGATTCTAATATTGAATACTAGATAGATCTCTACTAGCAAAGTTAAGTAGAGCATCTGATACAACAAAAATGTTGCACTGAACATCTGCTGTTGTGGCTCTTTTATTAATTTCCATAAGTACTCCAGACTGCGTGTTAACAATCTTTCTACCTCCTCCAGTGGTGTCATCCTGTGTTGACCTTAGATCTACTACTAAAGCGAAACCGTTGCTGAAGAACCTGCTGATGGACATAAATTCATCTGCCATTGATTTCTCACACATAGGACAGAAGAATCGTTTTGCCTCTTCAAAGAACCTATTTTTATGAAGTCCTTGGGAAAAGACTGCATTAGGTACACCTTCAATGGTTAGGTTCACTTTATCAATGTTTGGGTAAATATATTCTTCAGAATTGGTTCTCACTCTATTGGTAAATAGAAGGACAATTGCTGACATGCTCTTTCTGGGGATATTTATGTTTTCATTGACAATGGTAAG